GGCACGCCATGCACCAAAAAGTTTTAGTGGTGCACCAGTGGCACGCCATTAGATTATAACTGCACCAGCAACCCTAATGATCTCGCAAGAAGGGTTTGATGAGCATGCATAAAATCTATCAGATCATCTTAAAATTCATTAAATTATCATTTAATTATTAACCTGAATTTATCAAGGTATATCGTTTGACATTATTATTGTTAAGAAAAATAAACTTCTTGTTTTAGTTTTATAGACAATTGTATTGTCAAATAATTTGTTTTACTATAAAAAAGTTTAGGGTATAGAGTTCTTTCTTTCGTAAACTGCTTATGCATTCATTTTGATCATCATAAATGAAATAATGCTTGAGAAGATTTTTGAACAGTAATTGTTATTAATTTGTAACAATTATTATTTTTTACGCTATAAGTAGTAACGATGAGTTTGTAGACAAATAAATAAATAATGTAACCTGTTTTATACGAGAATGTTCGATCTTTATGATGCATTATCATATATGTATATACAGTACATGAAAATTAAAAAAGTAACATAAATTGAATACGATTACATAATATTTCATGTATGTATTTTTTTATATTTATTCATTTATTATACAAATGTTCATTGTTTAAAGTATTAGTTTGGTACGTATAACAAAAGTAGAATTAATCCGATTTGGTATATCACAAATTGAGTCATGCAAATTTAGAATTTAAGCGTAGATTATGTTAAGTATAGAAATTCGTGAACGATATGTTTGTCAATATAACAGATATTTCATATAAACAAGTGGATATTATGATTATCGTAAAGAAAAATAATATTTTTAGAATATTTATTAATTAATTCATAGGAGGTATGTATAATAAAGGAGTAAATAGCGCTTTTTACATTTTTTTTAAAAAAAAACACACAATACTAGAAGGAGGGTAACCGTGGTTTTTATTTTTTTGCAGATAAAAGTAGTCTTGGACGTTTTCTACCAGTCTCAAGTTTTTCTTTTTGAAGAATAGGAGTATCGGAGTAAGTAGATTTAGCAGATTCGTTATCATTAGTAGAATAAGTATTTTTTTCGATTGTACGAGAAGTATCAGAAGCAAGGGTCTCGATCATGTTTTGCGAGTTAGATTCGTTATTGTTAAGTTGCGAAATGATTCTACACAAGGTTTAACAGGAGAAGCTTCTTTTTGAATCTGCGAAATGACCTCACCAAAATTCAGGGATGTAATCTTGCTATTCGAGGGTTTAAAAGAATTTTGTAAATTAATTTTCTGTTTTTTTTTTGAGGAATTGAGTTGTTAGCATAGTATATTTTTCTTCAATGCTTTCGAGTTGTGTGTCAAGTTCTTTTTGTAGAAATATTTTTCCATTAGATGAAGCATTTGAAGTCTGGAAATCACCAGTTGGATAGATCTACTCAATATCAGAAGCAAGAATATATGGAAGCCTTTTTGATCCAAGCTTTAATTGTTCTATGACAGATAAGACAGTTTTTCTTAAATTATTTTTCAAAGCACTATAGCGATTGTTTTTATTTATATATGATACAATAATTTTAGAATCAACATGTTTATTGTTAGTGATTCCATTATACAATTGTCTTGCTAACATGAAACTTTCTCGATTTCCATTATTGTCAGGAATATAGGAATTCGGTACTACAAAAGCAAAGTAAAGTAATAAGGGAGATGAATTCAGTAGGTCATCTGGAGTAAGAGTATACTCATTATTAGAATAAGATACAGGAACAGATTGTATCACAGTGACCTATGAGAAACAATAAAGTGAGAGTTAGGGTTTATAATATTCTCGAATATTCCCGATAAAAACAACAATAGTAACCAATACATGCATATTTTACATCCTCCTCATACACATAACGGCCAACTATTAAGACAATAGCGTGTTTTTCGAATGGAGTAATCAATGAATTAGAATTCTTGATAAAACCTTTGAAGGTAATTTCTCTGAATTTATCTGTATCGACATTTATTTGATACAGCGCAGTTCTGGTGATATAACTATCATTTCCAGTAACATTTTTAGCAAAACAAAAAGCCACGAATAAGGATAACATAACGAATAACAATATTATAGAGATAATAATAACAGATTTATATATAAAAAAACTTAATAGGGCAACTTATTAGAGAGTTAATGGAATAACTATTATCAAATTACCATTTTTATTTTTCTAATAATAACGAAATTACAGCATTTTTATAACAATTAATTTGTAAGAGGCTCAAGCAGCTTTTGTTAAAATTTTATTTTTTTCACAGCCAAAGCTTCTTTAATTTTAATGGATTTTTGCAAAAAAGGTTTTTAAAGAATCAATTATTACTTTTACGATATGATCCATTCACGACTTCACATTCTCTTTAACGTTAACTCGAGCCTGATACCCGATATCTGATAGTTGGTTTTTTTTTTAATACACGATATATTTACTGTAACCCTTTCTTTTTAATACAATTTTTATGTGTTATATTGTTAACTGTCATTTTTATGATATGACTCATTTATGATTTTATATTTCTTTAACGATAATTCGAACCTGATACACAATACTTAGCCTTTTCTTTTTAATACATTGCCCGTGTAGTATACTTTCAATACATTGCCTATATGTTATATAATTAATCATTATTTTTATGATATAATTCATTTATGATTTCATATCTTCTTTTACGTTAGTTCGAACCCGATACTTAGCTTTTTCTTTTCAACACGTTGCCATGTAGTGTACTCAGCTCTTTCCTTTTAACATATTGTCCGCATGTTATTATTGTTACCCATTATTTTTATGATATGATCCATTCACGATTTCATATTTCTTTAATCATAATCCGAGTCTGATATCAGATACTTCACTTTTTCTTTTTAACACACGTCTATGTAGTATATTTAGTTTTCTCTTTTCAACACATTGCTTATATATTACATCATTAATCATTATTTTTATGATATAACTTCATATCCTCTTTCACGTTAGTTCAAACCCGATACTCGATACTTAGCTTTTTCTTTTTAACACACTGCCATGCAATATACTTAGCTCTCTCCTTTTAACATATTGCCCGTATGTTATTATCGTTAATTATTATTTTATGACTCATTCACGAGTTAACATCTTTTTTCACGTTAATCTGAACCCGATACCCGATACTTAACTTCTTTTTTCAGTACGTTGCCCGTGTAGTATATCTAAATCTTTCCTTTCAGTATATTGCCCGTGCGTCATAGTTAATCTTCCCTTTCAATATATTGCTCGTATATCATCGTGACTAATCTTTATGTTGGGTTAGTCATTTATTGTCACATTATGAGTCACATCGTACGATTCATAGCCACATTCGATGTAACATATCAAGATACATTCATAGGGTTTAAGGTACAATCAAATATATTTATAAAAATTGAAAATATTCTGTCTCATGACAAAATACTCGCAAATTCTGATCAAAAAAAAGGAAAAATGACACAATCCTAATAAAGCAGTATATTACGTAAACACGTAGTTAAACAAAAAAAATGAATAATCATCATGGATCTAATTAAGATACACTGAAATTAATTTTGAAAATTAATGTACAAAAATCACGTTACATAGTGTGTCAAAATACCTCCAGCTAGTTTATTTCAATAAATTTTAAGATTCGCTTTACTATCAGTACTTTTAGGTGCACCAGAATACCCTGCCCTTCCTTATATCATGAAAATTTCTCATTATTTACACACATCGTATCACGTTCGAATGAGTTAACATATTATAGATTGATTCTGAACAAACATAGGATGCAATATAATTCGAGTCGTTAAAGAATTTGATTTCAGTTCACAGTGAAATCAAGTTAATTTTAAACCGTTCATCGAGTATTTTTTTGAAATTTAAGTCACTTTAAGATCATATATAATGATACTATTAGATAAATTCTCACATTTACAGTTATTAATCACAAAATAAAGGACTGCTTTTTTTTACAGCAAATATTATTTATATTCAATTTCGAAAAATCGTTAGAATTCAGTGAATATAAGTAGATTCAAGTTAAATTTAATAAGTTAGATCATAAGAATTATATGTCAAGAACATGTACAGAGCAAACGTGGTTCTCACTCAATAACGTTTTTGCCTTCCTGTCATATTTATCGAGTTTCGTAAAGATTATCATAAAAATCAAAGCTTTACGTACAGTTAAAATTTTACGTCGTCTACCTGTCGATTTATTGCTAAAGTAGTCAAAGATTAATCAAATATATTATGAAAGAAAAAAGGATTTGTTCATCGGACGGAAAGAATAATCCTAATAAAATCGCATTTCAATATCAATTTATTATAACGACAAGACGTAACATACTTCGATCGTCATTACGTCAATCGATCATACATTTATTACAACGTTAATAGAATAAGGCTATTATACCGTACAACATATGTCTCACGTTTATTTTTTAAAATACAACACTCAAAATTCTTCGTATTCTATCACATCGTTAATCCTTAAAAAAGGAGCATCAGAAAGAAACATCATTAGTACATCTTCACAGGAAAAATTAACATGAAGAGGTAAATTGTCTACAAAAGTTAGGAAGGAACTCAAATGATCAGAGATAAGGAACTTTTTAGCAAAGTTCAAATAAAGGGATTGAATATTTGACATTATCCTTAATTGATCAAAACAATGCAAAAGATTCCTTATATTCTTATATTCTTAAGAATATTCTTAGGCATCAACCTGATACTTGATATCACCCTCGAAGCATAAAAAAGTTATGGCAATTGCGAAGGATAATCGATTCGTCTTCTTCAATACCACACCTCGTGTAATCAGAGTAAACAGATTGGAGATATATGGCGAATCGATAAACAGTCTGATATCGTTGAATAGTTCGAACCCGAAGTAAGGTGGAATAAATGACTCGAATCAGCGGAAGGATCTGGGAACGATGAGTCCAAATAGTACCTATGCAATCAACAGATTGCAAGTTACAATTTTTAAAATTCGTAATAACGGGCACATAATTCATTTTCTTTCTTTTTTTTTTTTTAATCAAAAAAAAAGGTCATATACGCATATATATATACATAGTACTTATCATTAATAATTATTATATTTATCTATTTATTAAATGTTACGGCTGATGCTGAAGTTTGGCTGATGTTGAAGCTAAAAAATCTGATTGGCTAAATTTTGCAGAT